AGGAAAAACATCTCAAGTAGCATCCCTAGGAAAACCAAATCCAGCTCACATAAGAAACTGTGAAAAATGGCATTTAAAAACACACTATGATTGCCACAGCTAATAACAAACTGACATAGGTCTCACTTATTCCCCAATTACCTTACCTCATTTATAAAATGGTGCAGAGTGTGAAATATAAAAGCTCTAACTTCTATATAAAACTTCACTTTAAGTTGAGTTAGATTTGAAAAGCACCCACGCTTTGAAACCCAGCATACTGCTATCGCTCTGGGACATTCTTGTATTATCGACTGTTATTTTGAGTACATAGTGCATTTAAGTGAACACAACCACTGTCAAGATTCATTCACAGGAGTTAGTATCTCATCGCAGCACATAATGCAGACCCTCGTGTACCAGTATAGAAACATGTGGGTGGAAGCTTCTTCCAGGAGGAGCACTTAAAGGAGAGGTGTCATGCTTTTCTGGTTATTCCCCGTCCCCTTGTGTGTTATGAAGGTTTTGATGCATGTAAACGGCATGCAGAGTCAAAACCCTCAAAGTACACCCTATAGCGAGTAAAACTCTAACACAGAAAATACCTCCCCAAAACGCCTCGTTGGAGATACGTCATTGTCCATTTGATTCTTCCATTTCGTTCCGGGTACGGCATGATGTCAAGCCGTACCCGGAACGAAATGGACCAATCCGTGGAGCCGTTACGTTACGTCCGCGGAGCCGTTACGTTAAGCCCCCGCTGATTGGTCCAAATTGACCAATCCACGGACTTCCTCACACATCTGTGTGCAGGGAGCAGGCAGCTCAGCTGATTTCTCCTCCCTGGCTGCAGGCTGATAACAGACAGTTGGGATCGCGGCGAAATTCTCTCTGCAGACCCATTCTCACAGCGTTTATCAACCTTTTTCTTACTCAATATCAAGCCACACTTATTGTTTTTACTTCGGCTGTGACTTTGTGTGTGCTCAGGATGAGTTTGGCTGTGTTTCGTTATGTATCCTAAACAAGGAAACAACACCTCCACGGAGCTCAGCGCGATTCACAACGTCCCGACCAATCAGAGCACACTGTGCTCACAGGGAGGGTGGGGGCTGGAGCTATTGGAGCTACAACGAGCCGTTAAAGGCAGAGAGTGAAATTCAGTGAATACACGTAGTTTACAGAGATGCTGTATGAGAAACCAATGTGAGTTTGGAAAAATGCACAGTATAAATCTATTTTAGTAGACCTCAACAATGGAATTATGATCAGTGGAAATGGCCATGACACCTCTCCTTTAACACCACATCCTTCTCAGAGAGGATATATAAGCAGGCAAAGTAACTTGTCTGGTATGATGCTCACTCTCTTTCTCTTCAGGAACATCCATCATGTGCCTGCAGAGCTGGGTGAGAATCCAAACTTCAGCACACATCACTCACCCAGCAGCGACAGGCAGCACCGGTTGCATGGGGAGCAACAAATTATATAACAATCATGCCCTAAAAACAAAACAATGAGTACTACAAATTGGTAAGTTTCATTTAGAAAAACTCCCGTAGATAGAAAAAGTTCTCTCTCGGGTCATATCCAATTAATACTGACAGTCCGATCTTTTGTTATTGTGCTACAAATCATACCGGTGACAGGTTTCTACTGCAGCCGAAAAGAAAATTGGTTCAACTGCGACACAGGCACCAGGAGCCAGAGCTGCATGTACGTCAGAGGCTGGGTTCACATTAGAAACAGTTCATGAGGAGAGCAGAGAAAGTTGTTGCAGAAGGAAGCCACCAAGCTCCCTCTAGAACGTGACAATAATTCATGTTATACGAGTGAAACTTCACATTATACAACCCTTATTAACCGCGTCATGGTTCCAAACATTGTCAATTTAAATGTAAAACAATGAACGCATCAGTGGACGCCACTGGTGTGACGGTCAGACAGTAAATTACTACCATCAAGCATCAGGTTTCAGTAGGCTTTATGCCTGACGTACAAAAATGCCGCTGAACCATAGTGGCATACCATCAGCCTCATTACTGGTAAGAAGAGTATAAGTTGGACATAAAGACACTCTTGCCATTCATACAGGCTTTGTAAGTTGAACAGCAACATGAGCAGAGCTCCAATGTAGTCTGCCTTTGTTGTTATTGAGACACAAGTTAATGGCGACGTCAGTACGCGGCTTCTCTCTGGCTCTGGTTATAAGAAAGCAAACTGTTTTTTGAGTGGATCACAGGTTGAACCAAATGGGTGGTAAGGGTGGGCAGTTAGACCAACGTACGAATTATATTAAGTATTTGTATGTTAATGTCTGAACAAACTGCTGCTTCTGTAACTAAATCATTTTTATTCGGATCAATACAATATCCATCTATCTATCCATCTATTCCTTTTTGTAGAAAAAGTTCACAAAATGAGCTGATCCTGGCTAGCACTCAAAACTCAACAGAAATGGTTGCAGTCCGTGCCTTTTTAAAATCAACCATCTTATCAGAACAGGGCAATGAAAACATCGATGGATATTATTGTCTCTCAACAGTGACAAAAGCAAAAGGGGTCAAAAACGACGCAGTCTTCACCCCAGGTACCAAAGTGTTGCTGCGGCACGAAGAGCAGTTATTCTCCACGGGTGAGGCTCATCCAGAGTCATTTAAAATGGCCTTCAAAAGCAACTAACCATGAGTGGCAGCACTTTAAACAAGCAACTCAATTCAGTGCGAGCCCCTAAAGTGATTAGATTCCATTAATCAGTGCAAACACAAGGGCACCGCTGGCCTTTAAAATGACCCGCTGTCCCGTGAAGCCTGGCTCTGCACCGGATTGCTCTTAATGGGATTTCACAACATTAACATTCTGCAGAGTCAGCATCGAGCACACTGGCTACAGTTCCCCCGCCTTGAGAGTGTGCGTGCGTGCGTTTTCAGTGTTGGGTGGTGCAGAGAGAATGGGTACATAGTATGGTAGCGGTGGATAATTATTAGACAGGCTTTAACGGGAGTCGAGATTGTTTGTAGATGCTCTAAAAGTCACAGCATAAAATATTTATATCTGGAGAACAAAGATTTCCCGACAACTGACTGAATTAAAGTCAAATCTAATCTGTTGTGGTCATTCCTTTGACAGTGACACTGCTTCTTCTCAAATCTAAAAACCTTCAGTTCTTGATTGTCATCAGTCCATCCAGGTAAAATAAGACGGGTTACAAAGACATTTACCTTCAATACCGTGAACCATAATGCTGTTGCAATATCAGTCAAAAGATAATTGTAAAATAACTAGATGACGAAATCTAACTTACTAACAAACTACATTAGGAGTCTACCAATCAGAGGGTCAGCAGCTCGATCCCAAGCCCCCGTCATCAAAAAGTGTCCTGGGGAAAAATACTTAACCCCAAACTGTAGGCATGTAGACAGTATTAAGTGTAAGTCACTTTGGATAGAAGCCTGAGCTAAATAACTTTTTTTTTTTTTTTTTTATAAATGCAACTCAGGCAAGAGTTTAGTTTTAACATCCACAAAAGTCCCAATAGCCATATTGCCATGTTCAATTACATAAGTGTCCATGTTAAAACCAGAAGACTGTTGCTGTTGCTATATGCTGACGTATGTCTCTCAACTCATACACATGCTGCACGCAGAAAATCATATTGGTGTTTGAAATCCCAGAGCTTCCTGTTTGACTTGTAATTTAACAGTAGATCTACCCTGGTGTTGACAGAGGGGTCAACTGATGTCAGACAGGGGTCACAGGGTCAAACCCCAGATGGGGGCATATGACCTGGCTTTCAACAGTATAAGGAAGCTCATTAACGGCCAAACCATTCGTCATGCAGGCTGACTAAGATGGAGTTGTTTAAGACAAAATTGCTTACATGTCGTTTGCTGCAACTGAAAAAGAGACCAACAGTGAGATTGCTACCACATCAGCCAGCTATGTTCTCCATCTCACCATCTGCTGTGCTCCACCCACACAATTCTCTCATGGCACTATCTGGACAGTAGCCTGCCAATGACCAGGAGGGCAAAGCAGATGGTGTTGTTACGCAAACCATTTAGCCTTTGAATGGCAAAGCCCACTTTAAATCAAATGGGCACTGAATGAAGTCAAACTGTCCACTTGCTATAGCTTTTAGGGCATTGGCTTGCATTGTTTGCTCACCTGGAATACTGTAAGACCAGTCAAAGCAACGCTCAGGGAAATACCTCCCGTCTGAAGACTCCACCATAAAATACAAGCAACTTTAAGACTTGCAACAGAATCAAGTCTCTTATTTTAATTTCCTCAGCACACAAACAGAGGGATTTAAGTCAAGGGAAAACGGCCGGTTGATTTATGCATGAATAAAGCATTTTAAAGTGTTTCTTAAGAAGGCAGCTGATATTGCCTCATTTGAACCTTTCTCTCTTGAATTGAGAAAAAACAGCCAGACAAAATCTCTAATGAAATTCTAGGAGTTTAGTATTGACATTATTTATAGCTAGAAATTGACCCGTTAAAATAGAAAAAGTAGATTTTATGTACTATGAGTGTGTTCTTTATTATTCGGCGCAAGAACAGCCAAAAAAGGAAATGTAGGTAATTAGAAAAAGGCTTTTTTTAATTGAGTCACACCTATAGCTGTAGCGGCAGTCAAAGGTGATAGTTCACTGCGTTAATTACCAATTAAAGTGATTAAAATTAATTAAATAAGCTACTAGTTTGAATTATTATAAGCCGAATTGATGCAAGAGCTGCACATAGTCAGAAAACATCTTAGCTTGAGTTCCTATGTGTGTATTTGTTTGTCAAGGGGCAACACAAAACTAAATCAACTGAATATTTCATGGAGTTTTGAACGAGCTACCAGCAGAAGGGACAGATTGAGGAAAAAACAACAAGAGGAAAGTTTGAAGCAGGAGTTTTCCTCTTTTCCCAATGTGAAGCGACAACATAAAACAGTCACGATTCTTTTTACGGTTGTTTTCGGCATTATATTACAGTTTCACGGAAGAGAGGCGGAAAAATAAACTCACCGTGCGGTATCTTCTCAATATCCAGGTTTGGAGAAAGACCAAAACCTCTCGACGCCAAGTTTCCTCTTTCCTCAGCAAAACAATGCAGCGGCACTCACGACGCAAGGAGACATTTAACAGTGTTTAAAGTGTTTAAAGTAGGGAGGGGAACCGGTGAAACCTGCCTCTCCGACGTGGATATGTGTCCGTGTTGACGAAGTGAAAGGACGGCTTTCTTTGTTCCTCCTGCCTGCAGCCCGTGGATATTATCACCGTTCGTGTGTCTCTGCCGGCCGCTGATTGGCTGCGGGGTCGGGATCAAAGAAAGGTGACCGGTGTAAAGTTAGCCAGATTAACAACACATTTTCCGACTGTGGTGTGCGTAAAAGCCCTTTTGTAAAAACGTGTTTTAGGGTGTTTTTGAATCTAATATGCAGGTTTCACGCGGCACCATAATGTATTGAGCAATGTCCCAAAGCGCACGGATGTTGTTCAGGTTGCTGTAATTGATTTTAACCCCCAAAAGTGGTTTACTCCATGCTTTTATTTTGTATGCTTCATGACCAAACTTCCTGTTCAGTACTAGCTTTTGTTGAGAAGCTTGACGCAGGGTGGAGGCCACTTCATGCCTTGCATAGTTTTTATTTTGAGCATAATCACATCATCATAGGTGACCGGTGTGAAATTATCCAGATTAACAACACCTTTTCCGATTATGATATGCATAAAAACACTTTTTTATGAACACTTTTAAGGGTATTTCTGTAACGTATATGCAGGTATAACGCTGCAGAGTAGTTTATGTAGCAAAGTCAGAGTTTGTAAGTGTATTTTGTGTTTACTCCAAAACGTGGTTTATTCCATGCTTTTACATGTATTGTATTCCCAAATTGGTTTACGTGGAATTTACTTTAGTTTTTGGTGCAAACAGAGACACAAAATGAAGAATACATAGCAACATATACAAATAAAAGATCATTATAATATAAAAGCTATTAAAAAATATATAAGTATGTGAGTAACTGAGTACATTAAAATATAATAAAATATAACTATGTACTATATGCATAAAAACCCTTCTATAAACGCTATAAGGGTATTTTTGTATCTAATATGCAGATGTAATGCTGAATCTGTGTGTGTATAGCAATTACTCAGAGCTTGTAAGTGTCTTTTGTGTTGCTGTACAGTAAGTCATTTTACTCCTAAATGTGGCTACTTCCATGCTTTTATTTTGTATGCTTCATAACCAAACTTCCTGTTTATTTCTAGTTTTTTTTTTAAGAAACTTGAGGCAGGGTGGAGGACACTTCATGCCTTGCAATGTTTTAATTTGAGCATAATCACATCATCATAATTTGTCTGTACGGACATTTCTTTGACATTTTCTTGCTCTTGAAGATAAGCCCAATATTTAAGCTGAAATGTGGTGCATTGATTTGTATGTCTAGTTGTACACACACTTGTATTTCCATTGTAAAAAAGAAGATTCAAAAATGTGAAAACTGTCAAAAAAAATGTATATAATCAATAATCAATTGTTTTACATTTGTGACTGAAAAATCACTTTTTTTGTAAGAATTACATTTTTCATATTTGGCCCCCATCATCTTCCGTATCCATGCTATATAAAGTTATTTAAAGGTCCCATGTCATGCTTTTCTGGTTATTACCCGTCCCCTTGTTATGTAGCTTTTTCTGCATGTAAACGTTCTGCAGAGTCACAAACCCTCAAAGTACACCCAGTGAAACTCGAACACAGAAAATACCTGTCTATGCTGCCCCAGAACGCCTCGTTGGAGATTTCTCTTTTTCTTCCTGGGTACAGTGCCGTGCCCATACCCAAATGGACCCATTGGTCCAAATGGACCAATCCGTGGAGCTCCTCACACACACACACTCTCTCTGCGGCAAAACTGGGACACGCTGGGGGGCGAGGGGTTGCTAGTGGAGCCTCGCAGCGGCGAAACTGTGGCGCGCTTACACTGTCGGTGCGCCGCGTTTAGGGGTGCGGGTGCTAGTGGAGCCTCACAGATGGGGGTGCTGCAGCCCCCTCAGCATCCCCTCCTTCCCGCGTCCATTCGCGATGTCTCGCTGTCTCGCAGACCCCACGCAGCAACGAGCCGCGCAACGTCCCGCCCAGACGGCACCCAGACCCCACGCAGCATTCTCATCTGTTTGTCCTTACTGGTGTCATTTTCTGGTTGCTAACAAACGCCGTTGTAACACATAATCACTGATGTTCCGCTGTAACGGTGGTGGACTCATCAGAACAGAGTGGGCGAGCTGACCAATCAGAGCACAGTGGGCTCACAGGGAGGGGGGGGCAGGAGCTCCAACAAGCCGTGTAGGACAGAGAGTGAATACACATACTATACAGAGATGCTGTATGAGAAACCAATGTGAGTTTGGAACATTGAACAATGTAAATCTATTCTAGTAGACCTCAACAATGGAATCATGATCAGTAGAAATGGCCATGACATGGGCCCTTTAAAAACGATGCATACCTCACTTAAAGCTTGTCATTATGTCTTATTAAATCATGTAGATTACTTGTGTCTTTTTCAATCTTTTTTACGTCTTTGACAGATTTGGATACTTTATACTGATTTTCACTTTTGAATAATTCATGTGCCTTTAAAGTACCATTAAGTGGCAGCAGCTGTATTCATGGATTAAACACAAGCTAATGGGAAGCATCATTTCCCTGCATCTAATGCCACTCAACACTAAGTCATTTAAACCAACTCGCAACTATGAGATTAACTCTGGGGTTTGTGTGGTTATTGCTCAGAGGTTTCACTCTAACCACACTGAGGTACACAGTTTATATACCAAGTCTCCTCCAACACAATGCTAATCTGATGAGCATGTTAAGGTTTAAAAACATAAACATCCTTTCCTTTTTCCCATTCATTACATCATAAACCCTATGCATTACATTAATGCACACAATGTACACAATATCTTGTTTTTTATTACTGCCCATATTTGATTCCAATTCTATTTCAATGTAAATACTGCCACATTTTTAAATCAATCAATCAATGTTTATTTGCCCAATATCACAAATGTTACATTTAGTGGACTCCACAGTTTGTACAGAATATCAGTATGACAATACGACACCCTCTGTCCTTAGACCCTCACATCGTACAAGGAAACACTTCCAGAGAGAAACCCCACAGTTTAAAGGGGAACATGGGAGAAACCTCAGGGAGAGCAACAGAGGAGGGATCCCTCTCCCAGGACGGACAGACGTGCAATAGATGCCGTGTGTAAATCAAAAAGATAATACATTTCACAGCATAGGTAGTCCAAATGTTTGGGAATGCGTGTGTCTATAATAAGAAGATGAATCCACGAGCATGTCAACAATCCTGTGGGAGCCATCAGGGAAGTAGTATGATGAGAGTCAGGCAGGACCACAGAGACAGGTTCACTCGAAGTCCAGGACTCAGATCAGGACTCAGGATCCAGAACTCAGGATGCAGGACTCAGGATCCCGGCGTAGATAGACACCAAAAAGAAATTTTATTCGGAACATGAGAGTACACAGGTACAGACAGAGAGAAGGAAGAAGTAAGGTGTCCCCCGACAGTCTAAGCCTATAGCAGCAAAACTAAGGGCTGAATCTAATCAGCCCTAACTATAAGCTTTATCAAACAGGAAGGTCTTAAGCGCACTCTTAAAAACGGATAGGGTGTTTGCCATTAAATATTTTGTAATGTTATTATAGTTTTCTTAAAATAGTTTTCTATATGTGTTTTTAAATTTTTGTTTAGTTTTACTTTTACAGTTTTACTGGGAGAGGGATCCCTCCTCTGTTGCTCTCCCTGAGGTACATGTCAACCTACCTGGTAATAAACCTGTTTCTGATTCTGATTCTAAATTACAAGTGTGTGTGTCCCACCTGTAACAGTATCGACAGCAGGTGTATTCATCAGCGAACAGTCTGTAAGAGAGGCCGGTGTGAATTGAGGCTCTTTGTGAAATCTAGACCATCGTTCCCCGAGCAGCTGGCCTCAAATCAAATCCAAAGAGAGCCAGAAAATTGAAGTTGGTGGATTCAACACAGCAGGGATCGTTTGCCTGTCAGCGTAAAACACTCACGTTGATTTTCTTCGCTCCTTTGCAGTAAGTCATAAAGGGAATAGTTGAACATTTTTGCAAAATACCCTTATTCATCTTCATACCAAGGTTAGGAGAACAGATCAAAACAGCTCAAATATTTGTATGTCAAATATAAATCTGGAGCCAGGAGCCGGTTAGCTTTGCTTTCCTAAACACTTGATTATATTTGGTCAATCACAGCACTCTATTGTGATAGAGAAATTGCTAGACTTAAACTGAAATGGATAAAGAAAACGTATATTGTTTTCGGGCCAAAGCTATAAAATCAGTTTTAAATCAATAAAATTAGCAATAATTAGACACATCTATAGTCAATACTCATATCACTTACAGTAGAATAATGACCTGGTTTTTAACTATAATATTTAATTGAACACTTATGCACCACTGTATATATTGAAACATCCACCTTTTTATATATACATTTGTATCTATCCGTCTATCTTTCTATCTGTCAAGCCGTCACTAGCAACAGTCAAATGTCTGTTACTCAAAAAGTCAGGAAGTTGATCTCAGTGAAGACACTTCCAACTAAACATGAGTCAGAACTCCCATGCTGTGTGTGTGTGTGTGTGTGTGTGTGTGTGTGTGTGTGTGTGTGTGTGTGTGTGTGTGTGTGTGTGTGTGTGTGTGTGTGTGTGTGTGTGTGTGTGTGTGTGTGTGTGTGTGTGTGTGTGTGTGTGTGGATTTGGTGTTGTGTAAGAGCCAGCATTGTGCATGCCCTTTGCCTGTGAATGAGGTTGTGGCAGTGTGTGTTGGAGGCAGTGTGTGTTAGAGGCAGTGTGTGTTGGAGGCAGTGTGTGTTGGAGTCAGTGTGCGTTAGAGGCAGTGTGTGTTGGAGGCAGTGTGTGTTAGAGGCTGTGTGTGTTGGAGGCAGTGTGTGTTAGAGGCTGTGTGTGTTGGAGGATGTGTGTGTCTGCCCGTCGGCTTGCCTTTCTCTGCCTGACTTCAGAGGAAGAAGCCGGGGCTTTTTATCACCAGCGCTCCATAAATCCTCCCCAAAGTTCTCCGACACACACTTTGCTTCAGAGGTTTTCCCTCTCAGTCTTTCGTGACGTCTTCTTCCTCTCTACCCCCTGCATGTAGACTCCTTTCACCTTTCTCTTTCTCCTCCGATTACCCTTCCTGTCCGTCTTTGTTTCTCCA